AAGCGTGTTATTGGTACATATGTGACGTTTAGGGATGCTGCGCGGGTCAATAAATTTGAACTTGATCCTTCTAAGCAGGTAAATAGAAGTCGATAAGGTTCAATAAATAATTATAAAATGCCCCCAAATACCCGCATGGGCCCCGGCGAGCGTGCTATTGGTACATACGTGACATCTAAGGATGTTTCGTAGGTCAATAAGTGAATTCAAGTTTCCGATCATTCTATGCGAATCAATAGAAGTCGACAGGGTTCAAACCATCAAACAAATATACGGTTGTGATGATTGATATATTTATTTTAATGCATTCATATTAGGGCTTCAAGGCCTATAACAATATGAATTCACTAATAAAGGCACAAAGCCTATAAAATCCTATCCCCTATCGGCAAGTTGATAGGGTCGACAAGGTTCAAACTTTAAATGGAAATAACCCCAAACACCTCAATGATGATCGTGTTGAATGTTTATCTCAACCAGAGGGGTTCACAAACACTTTTAAATGTCTCCCAAATATTCAAATGTCTATCAAAATCCAAAACTCCACAAAAATTCGAAAATTCAAAAATATTTAAAATTTAAATAAATCAATCAACACTTAAAGCAAAATTCATTCACCCTCCGCAACAGTTTGTCGAGGTGGACAAATTTGAATATTACTTCAGCTCACAAAGAGCTAATGCATAGTCGAAAATATCACTAGGATCCATTCCCAAACAATCTCTTGTCATTAAGGACGTGGTATGTGTCCTCTAACCGGCGGTTTTGCCGCCAAATGACCCTTCAGGATAAACGGTTATAACTCGGGGCCCTCTGAACCGTGTGATTTTGTCGTCAAATGGCACCATGAAATACTGGTTATGGTCAGAGTCAATACGCTCCTTACTGGCATCAAATTCTTGAGATATGAATTAATAGGATATGATCGATAGAGCACAAAGCCCTATGTTAGCTAAAGTGGATTCAAATTTGTCCCTTTAGACAAATATTCACCCCAGGTCTACAAGGTACCCTTGGACGAAGCAACCCATGGCTGCCGAAAAGGACCCTTCTGTTAGGTTGTGTCGACTACCTCCTCTGTGACTAAGTAGACCAGTGACCTGATGGCCAAGGACGACGAAAACATGGAATCTTGATCGGGTCTATCATCCATTCCCCTACCATCCGCTTTAAGTGCAAGATGGTGAAATTTCTAATTTTAAATATCAAACCTTTCAACTCTTCAATTTTCCAACATCCAAACCCGTGCTGCTACTATATGCCAGATGCCTATCTCTATGTTTCTGATTGATGACTAGCCTTAATTAAAAGTTCTCTCTCGTTATCGGGAGGGGTAATTAACTATAGGGGCTTGCGCTTATAGGAAATCAGAACTCAGATCATAAAGTTCTCACATAATGAGGGCAAAATCTCTGGGTAGTGTCTTATCTACAAACCCATATGCCTTTCAAAATTTACCACGGAACTTAATTCTGTTAAAACTCCCCCGCCGAATGAAAAAGAACAAAGCGGGCAGAGTCCGGGGCCGAATTTTCGGAGCCCACAGCAGCTTCGGCATAAGTATTTGAAAAGCTTGGATGTTTGGAAATTTGGGTTGAAATATTTGAGAAGTTTGATATTTAAAATTAGAAGCTACACCATCTTACACTTAAAGCGGATGGTGGGGGAATGGATGATGGACCCGATCAAGATCCCATGGTTCCGTCATCTCGAGCCATCGTGGTCCCTAGTCTACTTAGTCAGAGGAGGTAGTCGACCCAACCTGACTGAATGATCTTTGTCGGCAACCATGGGTTGCTTCGTCCAAGGGTACATTGTAGACCTGGGGTGAATGTTTGTCTAAGGGGATAAATTTGAATTCACCTTAGCTAACATAGGGCTTTGTGCCCTATCGACTATATCATATTGATTCATATCTCAAGGATTTGATGACACTAAGGAGCATATTAGCTCTGGCCATAACTTTTATTTCGTGGTGCCATTTGGTGGCAAAACCACTCTGTTCAGAGGGCCCCGGGTCATAACCGTTTATCCTGCGGTGTCATTTGGCGGCAAAACCGTCAGTCAAATGACACGTATCACGTCCTTATTGGTAGGAGATTTTTTGAGAATGGATTATAGTAATATTTTCGACTAGGCATTAGCTCTATGTGAGCTAAAGTTATATTTAAATTTGTCTACCTCGTCAAACTATTATGGAGGGTGGATGGATTTTGCTCTAAATGGTTGGATGACTGATTTTCGAATTTTAAATATTTTGAAATTGGAATTTTGATGATTTTTGGATTTCAGAACTCGTGGAGTTTTGAATTTTGATGGACATTTGAAGTATTTGGAATGGACCCCTCCGGTTGAGATTTTCGTTCAACACGGCCATCATCGGGATGTTTGGGGTTATTTCCATTTGTTGATTGAACATTGTCGACTCGGCCGAACTGTTGACTGAGGATCAGGTTTCTCGTAGGCTTTATGGTTTTGTGAATGAATTTCTTTTGTTTTAGACCTTGAAGGCCTAATAAATATATCGGTCACCATAACCTTATATTTGTTTAATGGTCCGAACCCTATTTACTCCTATTTACCTGCTTAAGCGGATCGAGTTTCGTAGGCTTTATGCCTTTTATTAGTTTATTCTCTTGATTATAGGCCTTGAAGGCCTAATATGAATGTATTAAAATAAATACACCGGTCACCACAACCGTATATTTATTTGAAGGTTTGAACCTTGTCGACTCCCATTGATCCGTATAAAAGGATTGGGTTTGAACTTGAATTCACCTATCGACCCGCGCAGCATCCCTAGACGTCACGTGTGTACCAATAACATGCTCGCCGGGGCTCATGCGGGTGTTTGAGAATTTCATTGATTAGATACCCCTTATATACCTATGTGTATACAAACTAAGGTGCATGTGTATGGGTACTTTGAAATATTTTAGTTGTGCAGATAACTGTCATTTGAATGTACAACATTTTATTTGAGAGCTTATATATGCCTTCTGTCCGCTAATACGAGTGTCGCGGATCCGGTGGTGGTATATCTGGATATTATGAGGCACTTCATCGTCCTGATGTTGACTCCCCTTTTCTCATTCATTGGGGAGGTCTTTCTTGAAGTTCGTGGCTACTGCCTTGAAAGGGTCTCTTTTCAAGCTTTTTAGTGTAGTAGACTTGTTACTTTCGGTGTTTGTGGACACCGGAACTGTTTTCTTCTTAAGTATATGACTAAGAAGAAACTTTAGAACATCAGGAAGTTTAGTTCTAATTTTTTCAAACATCTCTTCCATTCTGTCATGAGGTGTTCTTTTTTTCGTACATCAAGCTGTCTTTGTACCCGACGTACTCAAGAATCTCAATCACCGTTGTTGTGGGTGATATATGTACTTGTGTCCATAGTGGTTCGTCCGGCCACAGGAGAACCGAAGAAGGGTGAAAGGAAGAAAGTTAATTTCATAGTCGATGAGCTCCCTTGCTTCCGATCAAATTTTTATGACTTTCGAACTGACGGGAAGGGAGGTTGTCGAAGAGTGAAGTCGAACAGCATGAGCTCCAGTCGTTGCTTTCGATCAAAGCTTCGTAACTTCCGATCGATTGGAAGAAAAAGTCATCACTGGAGCCGCAAGAGGGGGAGAGAGCGGGAGGTCAGAGCGAGAGAGCGGGAGGTCAGAGAGAGAGAGCGAGAGGGATCGGTAGAGAGAGATAGCGAGAGGGATCGGTAGAGAGAGATAGCGAGAGGGATCGCGAGAGAGAGAGAGCCCGCGAACGAGGGCCTTAGCTCTCATTTTAACGACGTGAAGTCGTGCGACGTGGGAGCGACGTGCGTTGTGGGGAGGAGGTTGCGACCACGCCTTCGACGTGCGAGATCGTGCGAGTAGCCAGAGCAGGTACGCGACATTTTTTTTTCTTTTTTTCTTTTTTGTTTTGGGACAACGGTTAACATTCAATACTATTTCGAATGTGATTTTTCAATAAGTAAAGAAAAATGTGGATTATGGTTATATGCCATTAAGTAGTTGTACTCACATAAGGTGAATATAATATGAATTTAAAACTGAAAACAAAACACTCAAACCTTGAGGCTACTATTAAAAAATATTTTAAGTCGAAAAAAAATAATTCTTTTTGCATCTCCTTAGTTGAGTAGTTTTTTTATTAATTTGATATGCTATATGCTTTTCTTGCCATTTTCTTCCTTTTTTTATCACTGTGCGATGAAATGAGTGGATTGAAATGATTAATAAAGCCTCTTGTGAGTTCCCTTGTTGTTTCTCCTCATTGCTTTTGTCTATTTGAGCTTTTTTCAATAGGTCATCCTTATCTTAAAATAGGTAAAAGATACAGAATATTTATAGAACTGATATTCTTGTATGATGTCGAAAATGCTGATATGGATATCTAATAAGAGAGATTGCCAAATCCTTATTTATAGTAGTATTAGGATTGATTAAGCCGTTGCTTTCTAAATTTTTAAAAATATTAACTAGAGTTGGTTAATTTTAACTCGAGGGCAGATTTAAGAGGGGAAATTAAGAGGCATGCGCCCCTTTTAAATGTTTGATATGTTATTATATATATTAGATATTATTAATAATTTCTTATTATTCGATATTTTCCATGAAAAACATTCAATTTATTCCCCTTTTAAATAAGAAAAATAATTTATATGCCCCCATTAAAAAAATTCTCAACTCTCGCTGCTATTTGAATTCCTTGTTTTCTTCTCTTAATCTTTAGGTGTGTCACTGGCTGGTCCTGCTTCTTGTAATTTCTCCCTTCTGTTCTATAAAAATTATATTTGATGTTATTCTTTTGTTTTATTTTGGATGGATTTTTTAGTGCTTCTTAAAGCAGCTTCTATGTACAAAATTTTTAGTTTTTTACTAAAAAAGTTGCTTTAAAAAACAGTAAAAAAAAATCCTCCCAAATAAAACCTTCATATAAATCTAATAAGAAAGCAACGTACCTCTTTATTTTGTTTAAACTTTGGTCTTATTGAACAGGTGATTGGCACATGGCATACATGTGCTTGTACAAAGCCAGGGTTATCTGAGAAAAACATCCGAAAGGTTTTTAAGTTAGAATTTATTCTGAACCTGTTGGGAGAATAATTTGATAATATAAATGCAGAATTCATTCATTCTGATTTGAGCCGTGTTAGCTAAAATTAGAATCAGACTAGTATCTGTTATATTCATGTGCTACATCTTTATTTATTTTCTGGCCACTACAGATTCTGTTTGCCCTTTCCTTCTCAATAATTTTCTTGCGCAATATGAAGTTGTTTATGCCATTTACGAGGCCTTTTACAATATTTAAATTGACGTAGTGCTTACATGGTTACAAATATTGTGGGTTTGTTGTTTTAAATTTCTTATGTGTAAACTCTGTTTGGACCGCAAGAATTCTATCATAAAAAGTTTGCACGGCTTAGATGTTCATGAAGAAAAGTATCAAAATGATTCCTTAATTTCTTAAGAAGGATTAAAATAGTCCTCATTTATTATAAACATGATCATATTGGTCCCTCGTATTTAAAAAATGAATCAAAATGACATTTTATATAGTTAAAGATTATTTCAATATATAAAAAGTTAATGAATCATTTTGATCATTTTCTCAATGATTATGTTATGCAGCTTTTGTAGCTGTCCTTGTATGTATTAGTGTTTGTGTGGATAAATTAGTTGATATGGGAATTGAGAGAAAGAAGAGAGAATAATTGACTCAATATTATTTTAAAGAATGAAAAGTAAACAGGCATTTCTTCATCTATCTTGTTAGGGCTACAAATTATTCTCGGTTAGATGATATGATTTCTTTAATAAATTATTGGGTTCTTTTTTTTTAATCTATAATAGAGTTATAAAGAAAATCTAACTCTTCATCTCTTGTAGACAGTAGACATATGCCATTAAAACTTGTTGGTGGATCCATCGGCTCTCATGAGAACAACTTGAATGTAAGGGTGTCAATTTTTGTTCCAACATGAAACCCGGCTCGGAAAAATTTAGGTTTGGGTTGACCCGTTTAGCAAATGGGTCGGGTTCGGCTTGACCCGAAAACTTGAAATCAACTCGACGCTGACCCGAAAGTCTAGTCCATCCAGGTTTTTGCGCGCACTTGCGAAGTTGCCCGCTACCGCGCTCGCGCCGTCGCCCGCTGCCGCACTATTGCTGTTGCGTGGTCCTGCAGACTCCGTCTGCTCATGCGGTCCCGTGGATTGCCGGACTCTGTTCGCACTCGCGTTGTCGTGCGGTCTCGTAGACTGTCGAACTCCGTCTGAACTTGTGCCGTCTTGCGGTCTCACGCACTCCGTCTGCACTCGCGTTGTCGCGAGCTTGTGACTTTGCCCTCTGCCACGCGGGTCGGGTCGGGTCAACCCGGCAACCCGCCTAGGTGTCCAACCTGTTTGCAAAAATGGGTCGGGTTCGGGTTGACCCGTTTAGATTCGGGTCAACTCAGGTTTGACCCGAACCCGACCCGTCGACTCGAATTGACACCCCTATTTGAATGATTTTCCCTTGAATTTATTCATCTTCAAACAAGTAGATCTAATAGTTTAGATATTTTTTTAAAGCTTAAAAACATTTCATGTGCCTCTTGTAAAATAGTACTTTGATAAATAAGAGAATTTTTCAAGAGGAAAATTTAAAAGTCAATTTAATAGAATTAAGTTTTTTGCATAATAAATTTATATTCCCATGTATATCAATAGCCCAAGCAAGGGACACAATGTTTTTACAAATAGTTTATAAGTTCTTGAATATAAAATGGTGCATCACATAAACCAAGTTGTTCAAGTTAATGAGAAACTAGGAATGATTATAACAAAGTTGGGAAGAGATTTGTAAAAAAGATGGATAGAGGTTGAGGTATCTATTATTACACTATATTCTATTGATGCTGGTATTGATGGGGAAATGGCTTGATTGCTAAATCATGTGAAAAAAAATCCTATATTAGGAATATCAAAAAATTAAATCACAAATTTTTTGTAGTAGTTCGCCATGCCTAAGAAGATGTATATCTCAAAAACAATAGTAGACATTGGTCAATCATCAATAGTTTGAACTTTCTGGGGATTTTCAAAAATACTTGTACTTATTTTTTCCTCCCAACGAAGTCGACGCTTCCATTCGCGATACCTGTCATCTCCAAAATTGCAAGCCGATCGAGCCTCTACTTCTCCCGTTGAGCTCATCCAGCTGCCTCCTTTTTTTGAGCCTCATTCAGGCCTCATCCGACTCCAGCAAACGAATGCAAGTCCCGACCTTATCTTTGACTTAAGTCGAGCCCATCACATGCTCTTCACGCCTCTTAGCCCAAATCGAACCCCTACTCAAATTTAGACCATTATCTCACTACCTGTAGCAATCCAACTAATTACCTCCACCATTCCAACTCATTGAACAAGCACATTCACCCGTTAACTTGTTAAAATAAGTGTTCACCCACCCAAGCAGTAGGTTCCCATCTCTCTATTAAAAAAAGGAAAGAAGTCAAAAAAAAAAAAAAAGGGGAAGAGAGATTTTTGTAGCTTTCGTCGTCATCACGATCTACGCGCAGGTATAATCCATAAACTTAAAACCCTGCATTTGGCATTTGTGTCGAACTGAAAAATCATCCATACACGCTTTTCTTAGAGTGGTGGGAAGGAAACCCGGTGTGACACTTATAGTGATGCAGGTAAACCACATACACTATATTCTCTACCGTGGTAGGGATAAAATATAAAACTGCATCTTTTTTAAAACAGGTGCCCGAAGACCTATACATGTCTTTATCTAGCGTGCTGGGATTGAAGACCTTTTAGCTGCGTTGTCACCCGACACCTACTGTACACATTTTTTCTCTAGCGTAGCGGGAGGCCCAGACTCATGATTTTTTTTCTAAATAGGGGAGATGTTGGGAGGCTGACAAAATTTGTATAAAAAAATACATGGACTTAAATCAATTTTGGATAGCATGGGACATTATTTGGATAGCAGGGAACTTATTAGAACTCAAATGACTAACCACAAAATTTGAACTTAGATGAAAAGACTCAAACTTAATTAAACCAAGTGCAATGGTCAGAGCTCGAGCTCAATTAAGTGACAATGAATTATACTTAATTTTAATTAAACAATCCATAAGACTTGATTTGAATAGTGACATCAAAGCTCCAATTGAATGATAAGGAATTGTCACTTTAATTTAAATGCAAAATACTATTTCAAATCTCATGCAAACAAGTAAGGATTTATGCACAAATTCATTTCAAGCTTAAACATGGAATATGTTTGAACAATAACGAGCAGCTTGTAGTGATCACCCCAATTGGAATGAATAGATGGATGAATTTGATACCAAGCTCATCATGTAAATTGCAAATCAATTTTGAAAATAAGAAAACTTCCAAGTGCAACTTGTTTGCAAGAAACAAAAAATTTTGTGAATTCAATTTTACTATGAAAATATAGTAGGGAGATCTTTGGACCCCGATAGGTCACTTGCAATGTTTGAGATGAAACATATCTAAATAACAATCGGGAAGCATTATAAGAAGGGTGCCAAACTATCTACGAACTATAATGCAAAGAATTTCAATAGTGCAAAATCTACAATTGGTGGCAACAAAAAAAAAGCATGGAGAAAGTTGATGGTGAATGCAGTCAGGAGCAAATGGCATGCATATAAGTGACAGTAGGAGATATGTTGCTTATACGATAAGTCCTTAATGCACATGAGGCGCCAATTTTGGACAAGCTACAAATTCAAAAATATCCCTAAGATCGACAAATGCAAGGAGATATTCAAATGAATGTATATAAGGTTCATGGTGGATAATCGACTTGTAACATTGAACTTAAGTCATCCTTGAACAACAGTCAATAAGAATTGTGAGATAAGTGACAAGCAATATACAAGTGAATACACTAGTCTTCTATGATGTAGGGATGATGCACAGTGAATGTGACAAGACCCTACAGTTTATATGCAAGCAAGAGCCGTGAATTCACTACATATATGAATACATATGAACAATTGTATGAGTATCCACAAATAATTTTATAGATTTGTCACATACATAGTGGTTTTACCTATAACATGCAAAGGGTGCGACATGTCAACAAGTGAAGCAAAAGAGTCATAAAGAGATAGTTTATTTGCCGTCAATGCCAATTGACTCATAAATCAACACAATAATGTGCAAACGAATACAACAACTTGCCAACTGGTCAATGTAGAAGGATCACGACAAGCATAGGATTTTATAAGTTACTGTAGAGGACCCGTTATACATCCAGTGTATCGCACATTATCATACCAAATACAAATGCCAGCGAGCTGCCACAAACATAGGCATAAATAAAGTAGATATAAAATTCTGTAGGTCACCAAAGAAGATTTGTTAAATATCCAAAATGCCCTCGCACATGCACTATAATATCTATACACATAAGTACACAAAAGGGGCGAGTACAATTGTACACCCACATGGGCCCTAGTAAGCATGTTAAGGGTATACACGTGACATCTAGGGATGCTGGGTGGGTCAATAAATGAATATAGTTTGAGCCCTATCCTTCTATACGAACATATGAGACTCAAAATGACTCGAATTATCAAACAGATATACGATCAAGGTGTCGACTGGAATATCTATTTTATGCGTTTATATAAGGCCTTTAAGATCTATGATAAAAGAAATTCATCAACAAAGTTATAAAGCCTACGAAACCTAATCCTCTGTCGATAGCTCGGCTGAGTCAACAAGATTCAATTCATAAATTCAAATGACCCTAAACACCTCGATGATGTCAGTGTTGAATGTATATCTCAATCAGATGGGTTAATTTTAAATAATTCAAAATGCCACCCAAATACTAAAAAAATCCAAAATTCCAAAATTTTCTAAATCCAAATTTTTTAAATTGAAAATAAACCATCCAACCACTTAAAGAAAAACCAACCGACTTCAATAAAAGTTTGTCGGGGTAGACAAATTGAAATTTATTTCAGCTCACATAGAGCTAATGCCTAATTGAAAATATCACTAGGATCCATTCTCAAATAATCTCCTACTAGTAAAATTGTGATATGTGTCCTCTAAACGGCAGTTTCACGCAAAATGACACTACAAGTAAACGATTATGACTCAGGACCTCTAAATAAGGTAGTTTTATTGCCAAATGGCACCACAAGATAATGGTTATGGCTAGAGCTAATATGTTCTTTAGCGTAATTAAATCTTTAAGATATGAATCAATAATATATAATTGATAGGGCATAAAGCCCTCTGTTAGTTAAGGTGGATTCAAATTTGTCCCTTAAACAAATATTAACCCCATGTCTGTAAGGTA